TATCTATATATATATATATTACTTTTAATGTTATGTAAAAGATTTTGGTGGTATGCATGTAAATATGAATGTTTTGGTGTGAGATATGTAAATACATTAGAACTATGTGGCATGCAAGTAAGCCCAATATATAAGTGAACTTTAATTAAGAAATATCCTGAGCCAACTTTTTTTTCCATTAAAAAGAAGGCTGAAAACAAGATAAATCTTCTGCACATGAATGCAATATTTTGTTTATTTTCGTCAACATCAAATGTTTATATTGCCAATATCATATAAAAAGGTAGCATATATGTATATGCAACATAAAAAACCTACATAAATTATAGGTTTTCAGATGAACCTATCCAACAAGAGCTGAAAGGGGATTTAGATGACTTGTGAAGATCTCTTAAGCAAGTGCACCATGAAAATATTAACAGACATCATCACTTTGCATTTAAGCCATAATGAGACAGAAGTCTAGATAGCTGAAGCGAAATCTCAAAGCAATTTGCAGAAACGAACTCAAATTGCTGGCCATTAAGATTGTTATTAATCAAACTTGAAGATTTGAATTTATGAGAAGCTAGCCTAAAAAGAGGCAGTGACACAGAACATAACACTAAAATAGTGTGATGAAAACACGAAAACTTTTGCACTTGAAACAGTTGTCCTGCCTAAAGAAATTTGTTTTATTGTCGTCATCATCAAATTGTTATACAGCCCCACATCATAACAAAAATAAAGCGCATAAGTTCACCTATTGGAATTGACCACTCTTACATGCCACGAAATTTTAAAGATATTCCGTGAAGGGGGTATTTCTTAAGGATATTCCAGCCTCACATTAGAAGCCCGGCAGTATTTTAGCTTTCTAAATTAAACAACATTTAGCCTATCCGAATTGTCTTGTGAAAGCCTATTAATGGGTAAAGGACCTATGAAATTATCTACAAATACAACTTCTAAGACCTACATAAATTATAGGTTGTCAGATATACCTAACCAAAACAAATAACTGCAAACGGGTTTCAATGGCTTCCCTTGGCCTCTCAAACCAGTGCAAAATGGAAATATTTACAGAATTCATCAATGCAAATTAGAACTGGAGTGTGAGAGGAAGAAGCGAAAGTCGGGATGATCCACATTTAGATGCTGAAGCCAATTCTCAGCTGCTTGCAGTAAAGAACTTGCCAATTGCCGCTCATTTATATTGTCACTATTCCAAATTGAGCCTTTGAACTTATAAGAAGCTAGTCCAAAAACAGGCAGTGATAACTTAGCTGATTGATGGGTGAAGTTATTGAAATCCTTGACACTACTGATGCCATTCACCTCAGAATGACCATTGCATGAATCTGCCACAACATAGAAAGCGTGTATAAAAGGCAAAGCTATGAAGCAATGCCGGATTATAAAATTTACTCCGAAGTTTGGAATTTTGATTATAGCAGCAAGTGATTTGCAGAAAATAGTGACCAAGGTGAATACGTACATTTCAGTGGGGTAGACAATGAATGGTAAGTCAGGAAGCAAGCATCCAAATCCCGTAGCATTGGTCCTGTAGGTATCCTATATATTGGATACCTGCACCGCATTGAAGCGTTACATGATTGCTTGTCAAAATTGATTTTTAGACAATTATTAAAACTGCATAAATTGAGAAGCCATTGCATCAAACCATAAAGAGATAAAATAATACAAGTTATAAGTGTTAGATATCGAATCAGATGATGTTTTTAGCATGAAATCAAAGCTTACCAGGCAACAGAGATCCAGCTGGATGGATGCAAATCAAAGCTCCTGTACGTCTTTAGATGAGGAAATTTGTTTGTAAGCAGTGAAATCTGCAATGTATTGCATACTTTGTCAGACAGACGGCATATGTTGATAGCTATTATAGGTCAATTGAAGCTGCACTTACCTTTTCGGCTAAGGGTTCTCTTCCATATGGTGGATCATGCTCCAGATACTCGAATACTGGTACAAGTGTCTGACCGCAAACCCCATTTTCCTTGTGAGAAAGGCCATCCTGGTCTATATGGCTAGACGTGATTGAAGTATCCCTTCTCTTTCTAAAAGCTCGATCAGCCTCACTCTCACTGCTGGCATCACTGCCGGCATCCTGGTACATTCCCCCATTGAATTTGTCACCAGGTATCCTGTATGTGAGTGGATCGGTTTAAATTCAATTTCATATAAAAAAAAACAGTTATGCCATGAACTACTTATAAATAACGATGCAGGATGTTGCTATGTCTAGGGTTGCTAAAATCATCAAGATGCAATGCAAATTAAGATTTGATCAACCAATGCAACAAACAAGTGATGTTCCTAAGAAAACAAGGTATACTAGTCTTACAACTATTATTTACTGCTTTTCTAGTAAACAGAAAATGACTGAAAGCAGAATCAACTAAAAAAATTGACCATATAATAGAAATTAACAGCAACAAAATTAATGCGGCGACCAGCAAGTCATGAAAATAAGTGAAATTTTATCATAAAGAAGTTAATTTTCATACAACAATAATAACAACAACAAGCCTTTATCCCACTACGTTGGCCCGGCTACAAGAATTTTTTTTTTCCATTGCATCCTATTGAGTGTCATATTTTCATTTAATTTTAACAGATTAAAATCATTTTTTATACAATGCGCCAAAGTTTTTTTAGGTCTACCTCTACCTTTCTTAACATAAGATGAATCTAAAACATCTACAACCCTAACAAGATAATCAAATTGTCGGTGTTTAATGTGACCAAATCATCTAAGACGACGCTCTCTAAACTTGTCTGTCATTGGAGCTACACCAACCCAATCATGGATATGTTCATTTCGCATTTTGTCTCTAAGTGCCACGCCACTCATCCACCTAAGCATTCTCATTTTTGCAACACTTAACTTTGTTTTATGCTTCTCTTTTAAGGGCCAACATTTTGCGCCATAAAGGATTCCAGGTATCACCACCATCTTATAAATTTTCCTTTCAATCCAAGGGTTACTTCTCTATCACAAAATAGGTCAGATGCATTCTTCCACTTCAACCACTCATCTACCTAAGCATTCTCATCTCTGCAACACTTAACTTTGTTTTATGTTTCTCTTTCAAGGGCCAACATTTTGCGCCATAAAGGATTCCAGGTCTCACCACCATCTTCTAAATTTTCCTTTCACTCCAAAGGTTACTTTTCTATCACACAATAGGCCAGATGCATTCTTCCACTTCAACCAACAAACTTGAATTCAACTAATAACATCTAGAGTTATTACTACTAAAATTACATTATATATATTCAGTTTTAGATCTATTCAAACGAAGACCTTTAAACTCCAATGTATACCAACATAATTGAAGTTTTTTCTGAACTCTTTCTCTAGTCATATCCACAAGAAGGATCACTAAGGTACATCCTCCTACAAATGCCCAGTAAGAACATCAATCACTAAAGAAAAAAATTTGGCTTAAAGCTAATCCTTGATTTAGTCCAACTGAAATAGGAAAATACTTGGTCAATCCTCCTTCTGTTCGAACACAAGTAACAATTATGATATACATATCTTTAATGACTTGATTATAAGTTATATCAACACATTTTTTCTCTAGAACTCTCCAAAAGACTTTTCTTAAAATCTTGACGTATGCTTTTTAAAAATTAATAAAAATCACATGTAGATCCTTCTTATTCCCTCTGTACCTCTCCATCAAACCTCCCAATAAATGTATAGTTCTCATAGTAGGCCCACCAGACATAAATCCAAACTAATTATGAAAAAACTATGTATCACGTCTTAACCTATGTTCAATTACCTTCTCTCATAATTTTAAAGTATTATATACATCAACTTAATTCCTTCCTTTGTAATTTGCACACTGTTGTGAATTCCCTTTATTCTTAAAAATGGATACCAAAATACTCTTCCTCCACTCCTCAGGCATCTCTTCAATTCTTAAAATAATATTAGAGAGTTTAGTAAACTAAGAAACTCTCAAATCTTTTAAATATTTCAACGTCCATTGGATATCATCAGGTCCTACTGATTTTACACCTTTGGTTTTTTTTAAAGCCTCCTCAACTAAAGAAGTTAATTATCATATAAAAATAATAATAATAATTTGTAGTAGATCTGATAAAAATAAATAGTGCTTCAAACAAATAACAAGAAAAAAAAAAGAAAGAACAGGAAAGAATGAAAGGCTGGGAAACCCACAAGAAAGCATCATACTAGTATAAGGAGAATGAATTCCAGAGATTGGATCAAGTCTCACTTGATCATGAGTAACAATCCTGAAACGAGAAATTTGGTTCGCACTGTTGACCTCAATTTTCGTGAGGCCTAGTCTTCTGCTTAGGGTTTAGGATCTAGCCTTAGGAATCTCCCTTCGACTATCTTAGAACCTTAGAAGTGGGACCCGCCTCGTTTTAGTTCGACCCGCTTCCGTCATCTTCTGGAGTTTCGCGTGTGTGGTATCAACTTCTAGCACTTAGAAGGACGAAACCAACATGAGGAAACTCAAAAGGGATTCCCTATAGGACCTTCCTGAGCCTTAGGGTGGCCTTTTGCACAATTCGCACTCCCGCGCACAAGCTTCGCAATTCGGAGAGTCGACGTATCTGATCGCCACGATTCGCATCGCTTGCACTGTTACTTGTCGAATGCTCGAGTAAACCTTTTGGTACGATCGTTCGCGCGTCTGGCCCTTTCCCTTTCTCGGTCTCGAGCCGTGCGAGCTCTTCCTCC